TGGAACCTCTTCTAACCGGTTTGGTAGAGTTGACGAACCGGTTCTACCAAATAGGTGCGAACTGGTAGGAACCCACCTCTGATAACATGTCACTATCACCAGCCTATGGATTTCAACTTTCATATGCAAACCACAACAACAACATAGGTGACACTATACATTGTGGCTTTGGTTAAATCAAGGCTTTCTCATAGTGCTTTTTAATAATGTAAATAAAGTATAGACTAGTTTACCAGCCTTACTCCCATACAACAGTCAGCCTTTTCTGCCAATATTAAAAACAGTATCAAATATTTTCCACATTTTGGCCAGCATGCTACCAAAATCCAGTTTTAGCTGAAGCATTTTAATGTTATTTTTATGGAAGCTAGAATCTCTAGTGTAGAGACTGCAAACCAGCATGTTATAGCTTGCCTCCTAGCAGCTAAGAGCTGTATGTGATATACGTACAGCATGTTGCCTCTGCTTTTGTCCTAGATATGTTGTGTGAACATATAGGGTTGAATCCAAATTAAGACTTGGCTCAAGGGCATGAGCCTTTTCTGTATCTGTTGATCAGTTGTATTCCTCCCTCAGATATGCTCTCGATTCACTTCTTTCTACAGATACCGTAAAGTTATATCTAATATATGTAAAGGAGGTACGGATTTACAGAAAAATTCTTCTCAGCATGTGTGTCCACTAACTGCTCCCAAAGGATTGCAGATCAGCATTAAAGGGAAAAGCCTAGCTATTAAGCCAGGAGAATATGTCACCTTTATGGTCAAACAAAATCAGGTATTACTGGAATTTCTCATCTATGGAAGTCAGAATAAAAATGTAATTGTCCTTTTAACCTGAAAACAGGGTTGCACTAGAATTTGTCCTGCAATGTATTTTGTTTTTCTTTCTCTTTCTCTGCTAACTTATCATTCTTTTTATTTGAAGGTAAAAAATTTAGTGGGCTCCTTCTCTTACTTCACAGTTTTTTCTCCCTAAGTTCCTATAGGAGACACCTCTCTTCCCCCCTCCAGTGATACAAAAAAAGAGAGATGGGAGCTATGTTATAGCCCGTTACTATCTGGCAGGCTATCATGACAGCGGTGTATATTAGTATGAAGATGAAGTGATTGGGTTGGCTTGGCAGCAGGTGGTAGTATGTGAGTCATTGAAGGCTTTCTTCCTTTCCTAGGAATGAAGTAATTGAGAAATAACTGAAGGTAGTGTCAGTAATCAAGAAACTTCCTCTAGCAGGAAATGGCCAAACCGCAGAAAGTTATTGCCTAAATTTAAATTAATTATTAGTGAAGAGTATTTTAATCATTTCCTTTTCCCAGAAATCAGGAGTAAATCTTAGTTGTGTATAAAACAGAAGGGTTTCAATGTCCTTTTGTTTCTGTTTTGCTGGCAAAGAGGCATGGGAGTTTTACAGTAAGTTTCAGCTTACACAGAGGCAGTTAAGCAAAAACTTAAACACATTTGCCACATATTTTGTTGCTAGGAAAAGCATTGTTTGTGAGATACATGTGTTTTTCCCAGAACTTAAGTAGCATTGGAGACTGTTGATTTGTTATGGTGAATTTGGAATTGCTTATAAAGGACAGGATTGTGTGCAGTGCATGCACATGTAGAGATTGTTGATAGTGTTACTTCATCTTATATAAAATAGTAGATATAGCCAGATCAGAAGTAACTTTGATATCTCATGCACATTTGGGATGCCTTCAAAAGCAGATCTGCAAATCTTTGGCTAAATGAACAGAAAGTAAGATTCTAGTAGAAGTGACAGGTAATAGGTTTACATACATTCTTATGAAAAAACTCATGCCCCAAGAAATTCTTCAATTCAACTATATGGCAGGGTGAGAATCCACTGTAGTACATAGCAAGCTAAACACCTGAAGGGCAGATGCCTACATGAAAAACTCAGGGAGAATGTGTACCCACAATCATTTGGTTCAAGATGCCTACACAACACAATGGGATGAGAAAGGAAGCAACAAAAGACCCAAACTCAATGGTAACCTCCCATTGCAATGAACAAGGACATACATTCAGTTTTGCAGCTACTCAGATTGTTAGATGAGCAAGCACAAAAACAGCCTGGAAACTGATTGAAGCCTGGGAAACAGGCCTCTCTGTCAGTCAATGGGAGTGCTGATTTGCCACCAGCTTATCAAGTAATTAGGAAGTGAGGACTTAGCAGCACAGGGAAACAACAGACAACGACTTAATAGCCAGCCATCAATAGCCCAATCAATAATTAAAAACCCACACAAAAGAGGCATCATATAAATACCACACACAGACTAGCCCAAAGCAAACACTTTGCCAGAGAGAAGTTCCCTGAGGATGGCCTCCATCACAAGTCCTAAAGCTTGGAAGACTAAACCTCTGGTTGCAGTGACCAACCCTGATTGAATCCTACAAACTGTTCAATGTTTGGCACTCTGAGTAAGACATGCACTGGCAAAAAACTTTTGCAAAAATGTGTGCAATCAAATCAGTCTCAGTCAGCAGATTGGCTAAAGCCAATTTCTTCCTTAGCAAATTGTTCTGACCCCCTCCTCTGTCCAGTAACGAATGCTGAGACAAACTTAACTGGAATGTACTTTAATAGCAAGAAACCAAAACCTCGGTGGCTGAAAGCCAAGCATAACAATGTATAACCTGTAACATTTGCTGCTTTGAATGTATAA